TTTCAATACAACTATTATGAAAAACATTTTAAAATTTAGTTTCAAATATATATCATTAGTATTGATTTTAATTCTGGCCAAAGTTGTCAAACTTCAAGTTCCGAAAGTGTCCCATAAGTGGCGCCACCATCTGGACAAGCAATAGTTACGTAAGTTACCTTTCTTTCTTTCTTTCTTTCAAATACAGCGGTTAAATAAGCAAATAATTGAGTAAAAATTAATGTATTGAAAATATCTCTGTTTGTTTCTAATACATTTACAATATCTCTATGCTGTAGAAATTGGAAAAAAGTGAATAGGATTTTCTTAAAAATCGCTCTTTCGCTGACATCTGACGAGTTTTCAATTACACGAAAATTACGTATATATTAACTGCATTTCATGATTGCGTAAGATCGGCGCCACCCTTACGCAACTTTTTATGAAACAAAAGCAATAAGTTTCGATCGATATAAACATGTGTTAATTTTTTAGATTGAAAATTATATTAAAATGTAGTTTCTCTTTAATTTGCGTATTTGATAGTTTAGTAAGCACGAGTAGTAATCAATTAATTTAAAAAAACGTGAAGGTATTGCAGCAAATTGGAAAAAATAGTTAAATAAATGGTTATATTCATATATATTAGAAAATATGAATTTACTTTTTTAAAGAATAATTCTTTCGCTTTGGTTTGCTATAAAATACGTTAGTTTTGGTCAATTAATAAGAAAGTTACTGAGCTATAATGCGTTGACGGTTGTCTGTAGCACTTATGATTGTATTATTGTTTCCTACTTGATCCTTAGAGACAGGAAAACATTTCTTAATTCTAGATGCACTGAAATACTGGAAAAACAAAAATGCTAATTTTCATCACATCCCCAGAAGGAGACTAAAAATATTTTATATAACTATCAATCTATATTTTCACTTATTTTAATTTCTGTATGTTTTAGATAAACATTCATGATCAACATTCTTTTAGAAACACTTGCGGAAATACAGGCCATTTTGGAAAACGTTGCTTCCATACTATCGAATACCAATAATTATATTGATAATTATTTGTGACGAAGCTATGGTATCTACAAACCTGTATTTACACTCATTTTAATTAATTAATTTGCGTATTCGATTGTTTAATTATTATTTTAACCGATTAATTTAAATAAATGCAAAGGTATTGCAACAAATTGAAAAAAAATAGTTAAATAAATGGTTATATTCTGAAATATTAGAAAATTTTAATTTACAGTTTTAAAGCATAATTCTTTCGCTAGGTTTTATCCGCACTTTCTTTCGCTTTCATTTGCTATAAAATACGTTAGTTTTGGTCTAATACCAAACTTTGATAATAAATTGTGACGAAGCTATGGTAACTACGAACCTGCATTTACAAAATTAATGCCCAAAATTCTTCTGAGAATTGGTGTATACAAAAATAAAGGCGTTATTTTCGCAACTCATTTATGAAATACCAAAATTTATTGATTAATTATGAAGACACCATTGCAGCTACAAATTAACATTTGCGCACATTTTAATCCGTGTATATTCAAGATCAACATCCATTTATAACATTTTTCTGGGAGCTCATGTTTACGAAAATACAGGTCATTTTCGAGACGCTATTGTCCTAACTCATTTGTAAAATACCAAAGTTTGTTAATCAATTATAAAGACACCATTGCAGCTACAAATTAACATTTTTGCTCATTTTAATCCATGTATATTTAAGATCAACATCAATTTATAATATTCTTCTGGGTGCTAATTTTTACGAAATTACAGGCCATTTTCGATGATGCTATTTTCCTAACTCATTTGTAAAATACCAAAGTTTGTTAATCAATTATGAGAACACCATTGCAGCTACAAATTAACGTTTGCACTCATTTTTATCCGTGTATATTCAAGATCAACATACATGTATAACATTATTTTGGGAGCACAAGTTTACTAAAATACAGGCCATTATGTAAGTCATTGTTTTCGTAATTGTTCTTCAAAGTGTATATGTATGTTCGGTTACCTGCACTTTAGGTGTAAAATAAATATTCCATTTTTATGATAGCTGGCGTCATCTATTAGCAATATTTCAAAGGTTGTAGCTCAGGCATTTAGGCGCTGCACAAAATCCATAAATGCACATTTCCTTAAAAACGTTCTAATTTAAATAAACAAACATATCAGAATAGTGCTGGAATGAATTTTATGTTATTAATAGTCTAATAAATAAAATACTAATTAAATTTCGAGTTATATATATTTTAATTTACACAAGCAGAAACATCTTTTGGAACATTCAGGAAACAGTCTGCAACCAAACATACATTTAAACTTTGATGAACAAGTAGGAAAACAACGTCTTAGATAATGGCCTTTATTTTTGAAAATATGAGCTCCCAGAAGAATGTTATACATGGAAGTTGATCCTGAATATACACAGATTTAAATGAGCACAAAAGTAAATTTCTAGCTGCAATGGTGTCTTCATAATTGATAACGTCTTCGAAAATGGCGTGTATTTTCGTATACACTAACTCTCAGGAGAATTTTGGATATTAATATTAATCTTAAATATACAGAGATTAAAATGAGTATATATACAGGCTTGTAGCTATCATAGCTACGTCACAAGTATTTATCAAACTTTGGAATTATATAGTTTGGAAAACAACGTTTTCGAAAATGGCCTATATTTTCGTAAGCATTTGCTTCTAGAAAAATAAATTGTAATAAAGATTGATAGTTATATAGAATACTTTTAGTCTCTTTCTGGGAATTTGATGAAATAAACATTTTTATTTTTTTAGTATTTTCAATGCAGCTAGCATTCAGAAATGTTTTCCAGTCTCTAAGGATCATGTACGAAGCAACAATAGAATCATGGGTGCTATATGGTTCATAGTTGTTATCCATCTCCTTAATGAAGTAATATTTATGGTTACATTCAGCAGTTAAGATTTCCACTATTAGCAAATGAAAACTGCTAGTAAAAAATGCTTTCCACTTTCTGGGGAACCTGAGGTCATCAATTATACATTAAAGGCATGCTACTATCAGCTCCACCTAAAATAATAATAATTGTATCGATGATTCTTGGCTACTTACTTTATGACCATTAACAATTAATGTATTCTTATATGAAGACACTCTTTATGTAAAAGATGTACTTCTGTAAAATAAACAGGAAATTCAATAAATTTAACATGTGAGAATAGTTACACTGACAGCTATTTCTCACTCACACAAACGTAAAATTCAAAAATTCAAATTTTAACCAATCAGGATCGACCGATGCTAGAAGCTCAGATACCTCCTCACACTCTTAGTCTCCTGGTAGAAATCCCAATTTTATCCATTTTCGAGATTCATTAAAGCTTAATAACTTTCTTATTAATTGACCAAAACCAACGTATTTTTTAGCAAACGAACGTGAAAGAATTATTCTTTAAAACAGTAACTTCAAATTTTTTAATATATATTATTTAACAATTTTTTTTAATTTGCTGCAATACCTTTACGTTTTCTTAAATTAATCAATTAACACTCCTAATAATTAAACAATCGAATACGCAAATTAAAGAGAAAACTACAACCTTTCTAATGAGCTAACTGCCGGCATTGTGGTTTTGTCAGTACATCTACTATAATCAACTGTTATCAGAATCAAGCATTTTAATTTAAGTCTCAATCCAATTTGGCGACATAATTACATCATCGACCACACCATTTAACGCTGAATACCTCACCTTTCCATCGAGCCTATTGGCATCTTCGTGCTTTGATGGGAAAAAGTATTTTCTTTAATAACTCGAAAAGTTTTTGGTTCATTTCTCGACAACCCTACCCCTTAAGTTTGGTTACATGACCGACCATCCAATTGAAAGCAGAATATCTCACCTTTCCAACGAACCTATTGACATCTCTGTGCTGTCGCGGAGTCGTCTACTATGAGTTGTAGAAATTGGAAAAAAATCAAATAGGATTTTTAATATATTAAAAATATCTCTATGTGTTTTTAATAAATTGAAAATATTTGTATGGGTTTTTAATAAATTGAAAATATCTCTATGCTCTTAAATGTAGTACTGCAATACCTCTCATAGTGCTGCTTCTATCTGAGCGGATTACTCAGTCTCGACTATTTTTTATTCTCGAGACACGAGACAACTGTTTATGATATTCCCGGGACTCGAAAAAAATAATAAAAAAATATAATAGATGGGTAAAAATAAAATATATTATTTTATAATCAATTTATTTATTCTCTTTTCAGTTCTCTCAAAATCAATCAATTCACTTCTTGTACAATTTATACTTAAGCTGCTTTAAACAGTGTTCTATCAGATTTTCTAGAAAACTTAAACTAATTATTAATGCTTAATTATACTAATGAGTAAATAAGAAATATTTGAAATGTTTTTTTCTTAATAATAAGTAATATTTTAAATTTTGAATTTTACTTTGTAATTCGTAGTTTAAATGAATTGTTGATTCTTTCACTATTGCAATATAGATGTTGGGTTGTAACAGAAGTTAGATAACACAAATATCATACATCAATTTAGCTTAATTCCATTAATTAATTGTTGTTTCTATTAATTGAAATGCATTATTTCTATATGGAAAATATTGTAGTATAAATATTTATAATTTTTTTATACGAATTTGCTGTTTGGATATACGGATTTGCATGTGCTCTCTAGTGTTTAGTGCGTGAACTGTATAAAATTTAATTAAAAGCGAGATTGGTTAGATGGCGCTATAGTTAATCAACAGTTTAAATGTGTTAAAAAAGCGTTTTTTTAATAAAATCGCCAAATTACCAGGTTAATACTTAATACCAAAGGATTTGAAAGAATTAAAGAATTAAAATAATACCGGTATTAAAACAGGGTCACTTTATCAAATCTGGGTTAGTGGTGCTTTAACCAATGCGCAGATTTTGATTGCTCCCTCCCCCAATGGCAAGGGTATGCTTTTCAAGGTCAGGGCTAGAGGTGCTAGAAGAAGTCATAATTATTTTGCCAGTTCGTCGTTCACCACGATGAAGCAAACAATCCACTACCTTGGTGAGTACTGATCCGCTCCATCAACCCGATCACCCTTAACTATTTTTCTTATGTAAGCCTTCTACGGTATCGGTGTGTTATGCATCTTGTCATCTTCGTTCATATTCTTTACTGAGAGCGAGGATCAAGTCCACTTCGATGGAGTTGGTTTATTCACGTTCTCCGGTTGCTTACCGATAAGTTACCGTTTGACTTATCGCGGTTACCAGGAGACACCGATCTACATGATGATCCAGTTTCTTGCAATTACTCTTATGGGGATAATCATCTTCGTCATTCAGGGAATCTTCAGAAACTCTATCACTATGCAGGCACTTTTATTTTCTGTCATGCTAGTTTCCCTTCTGGTAACCATAATTCAAATCAATTCAATTGAACATTTATTCATTTGATTTTTGTTATATTTTTATGTTCGCAGACTGTTCTTCTTTACTTGAATGCTAGAATGGAGGCAGAATTTGCTGAGACCATATCTGCTTGGACTAAACTCCCCATTGCTGCTGAACCAAGAATCTTCAATTGTCGCAACCGCAAAGTCTTCAAATTGCTGAAATTGCCGTGAATTCGCACAGGATCTTCAACTATAATTTACGCAAGAGCATAAAATCGTAGATTTAGTCAATGTAAGAGAAAATATATGTATCCCATTTTCTCTTTGTATTTTATGCTCCGATCAATAAAATTAGTGTTAGAATCTTAATTTGTTTACAATTATTTCCCTAAAAATATTGTGTATTAAATTGTATTATTTTTATTCTTCCACGATTCAGAAAAAAAAGGTAAGATAATTTTTATTATTTGATTTAAAAAATAAAATCAATAAAATGGTAAATTCAATTTATTATATATTTCAAATTATACAGAATTTAATAATTTAGTAAATTATTTATTTGATGTTTGTATACACCAACAAATTATTGAATTAAATTAAAAGCAAAAATATTTGTACAAACCTCAAAATCCACTGGTAGAATCTTCTTTACTTTTACTTTGTCGAACATCTGCGATAGATCTAAGAACGCCTGATCCTTATTATATCTACCATTCTATTAAGTTGATCGATGACACTTTGTCAACTGTTGTCAACGAAATATGAATATATATGAATTTTAACTATTTCATACATATATAACTTTCAGGATTGACTTTACTATAGAAAATTGTAAATTCACTTTTTACCTGTACTGATTGAAGAGAAATTAGATTATTTGAGTTTTCCGCGTAAAAATCATTTTTTTGCAACTTGGATTACACGGATACTGTGTAAATTGAAAGCCGTGGGGTGTTTCCGTTGTTCATTGTTTTCGGCTTATAAACCCGTACGAAATTGGTATTTACAAGCAACGGCTTAAAACATGATTCTTCTTTTTGTCAGTTGTTACATAATTATGTTAAAACAATTGTTTCACAATTTATTAAACTATTTCTTAAATCAATGACTTAATACTAAATACGTGACTTTCGTGATATTTCTCGAAGAAAATATATAGATTTTATTTATTAATAATAAGAAAAAAAAACAGTTACATAATAAACCAAAAATTGTGAATTTAAAACAAAATATTTTGTTTATCATAAAAACCGTATCCTTTTTTTTCAAATATTATTCAATGAATATTATATAAAAATAAACTATGAAATTTGCGGTGAGTATTTTAATGAAATATGTATGCAAACAAAGACTATTTGCGTTGAACGTTGGACTAATAATTTCATTTGTTAGTTGAAATAATGAGTTTAAAAAGTGTCGAAACAAAACGTGGTTGCTGCAAACGAACCCGGCGCATCCACCTGTACAGTTTCAAACTGTACAATAGAAGCAAATACAAATGAACCGGACTCGCATTGTGCAATTGATACATGTAAACGGCTGAGAGTTTAGACGGAGCAACAAAAAAAAATTAACGCCGCTTGTTTTCAATTAATTTCGTCGAAAATGTATATAAACTTTCGTAAAATGTATATATGTGCGTACACATATTTATATATATTTATTAAAAAAAGTCGCAGTTTTTCGATGTCTTCAGTTTTAGTGAATTTTAATTTTTAACATAATCTTAGCAATTAGGAACTTTAGACGTATATATTTTTTTTTTGTTAACTACATTGTATATTCTCTTGTACAGTGAATAATTTTGATAAAAACTGTACCAACATCTTTTGTTTAATTATTTTTCTGTCATAACTATGAATTTTTGTAGTCGTAAGTTGCTGTAACTTTAATTAAACTTTAGACGTATGTTTAAATAGTTGTAAATCGAAACGTTGAATGTATTTGATTTGAACTATACAAATATATTTTTTGAAATATTTTTTTTCCTCATTAGCACAAATGTTTGTAAGTTGAGGTACTTTTAATTAATTTTATTTTAAATTAAAATTAATATGTTGCATAATGTAATGTTTGCAATTATATTTTATTTGTTGTTGTAATAAATGTTATTATTATCATTTTTTTTGGTAGTGATATTGAAATTTCATTTTATAATACGAATCTTCCTTTGTAGTTTATTATTGATTTTCTTGCTTGAGTTTGATTAAATTATTTTACGTTCCGATCCGCATATATCCATATATTAAAAATGGATTGAAAAATCTTTCATTTCATTACATAATTGAAATTTGTATTATCCAAAATACATGGAAATTTTTCTATGTTATAACTTAGGTCTCATCTCTTGTTTTTTGGACTTTCCACTATATATAAACAGCGCATATGTAGATCTACATACAAATATCAGTTTATAAACTCAGATCCTCACGTAAATATGTTGTACACCGCTGGAATTGGTGTAGCCTTTGGAGGAATGCAATATTCAGCATAACTTTCTTTGAAATTCTCTTATTTTTCATATAGTTTTTTTTTTTAAATTTTAAACCAAATTTTCTTGTTCTGTATTTTATTATTATTTCTGTATTTATATATTTTTATAAGTTTTTCTGAAATGTTTACTTATTTTCTATATTTTTTTATGAAAACGGAACTTAAATGAAAATCTTAATCTACAAAAATAACATGCTATCTGCCTTGATAATGTAATAGAAAGCATTTTAATTTATAAGGAACCTAAATTGCGCAATTAATAATATGTTAGTGAATTAATTTATATTTGCATGTCAGGCGAAATTGATCTAGTATATGATGCAACCATGTAAATTACTGCTAATCAATGTCCTGAACTTGATATTGTGATGTGCAACTAAACCTGGCCATCACTTAACATATATTACGTGGGAAACGACGTAAGTGTCATCATACGTTATAAGCCCTTTGTGGACAGATCATTTTGAAACCTATAGAAATTACATTATTACCCCAAAATTTACCTCAGAATCCAATCTGAATGATTTATTGTATTTGCATTTAGTTGCATTGTAGTAATGAAGAGAAAACAACGTTAGAGTTTTACGTTTTGTTGATTTTTGTCCAAATAAAAAATATTTTGTATCTGTCAAATTCACATATATTAACTAAATTTATTAATCATAAATTTAAACCTCGTATAGTACGGGTAAAAAGATTTTCCAAAATACATATATTAACTAAATTTATTAATCATAAATTTACACATCAAGTAATTATAACATGTCATTCTTGAATTTTCTGTCAAATTAATAAAACTTGACTGATTTGCGAGCAACGCGTGACTTTTATTGATTTTAATTTTGTCAATTTTATATATGTATATTTTAAGCAAAATTAATTCTAATAAAATAGTAAACAAAATGATTTTTTATACATATTTTTTTTCTTAATACAGTGTAGTCTCTTTTTGTGTTGTTTATTTTTATGTATTTAGTTCCCTGATTAGTCCGGATTATACGCAGCAATACCTCGTATAGTACGGGTAAAAAGATTTTTCAAAATACCCTACTATTTAAAGAGGACTAATCAAGGATTTTAAAACCTTATAAAAATAAACAGCATATGACTGTTTAGATCAGTTTTGTATAAAAGATAATTTTGTCAACTATTTTTTTTTGTATAATTTAAAAGCCTATGGGAGTTATTGCATGATCAAACCGCCTATTGTTTCGTTTATTCAGACTTTTTTTTCCTTGTTTCTTATAGAAACGCTAAGGAAATTAAGACAATTATTGAAACGAATCAAAATCTTATGACAATTTTTTTTCTTATCATTACTAAATATAATATTAGCTTTAATATAAGAGAAACAGAAAATTATTATTTTTTCTTTTTGTAATTATTTATGTAATTTTGTTTGTTTCAATAAATGTTATAAGTATTAAAAAAGTGCTTCTTGGTGGTTAATGATAAATTTATAGAAATAAATTAATGATGACATTTTGTTAATATTTTCATGAAAAAATAAATAAAAAATATACCTACCATATATTTTTTAATAAATTTGTGTTTAAACTTCGAATTTGTTACGTTTTCAAAAAATTCTGTAGGTTTTTTTTTTGTAATATTACGTGCACTGCATATTATTCAAACGTAATATTATATAATAATAATAAAGTACAATACGCAACGGCCATACAAAATTATTTTCGTTGTCAAATATAAATTCCCTTTATTCAACAAATATCGAAATATGAGAGTACAAATACAATTAATAACATTGTTCATAATCAATCAATGGGTTTTGGGTTCAATATTTTTTTCGTTAATAAATTCTATTTTTTATTATAAAATTCTTGATATGTTTCGAAAATTTATTAGAAAAAAAAATAAATATTCTTGTAATATTTACATGTGTATTAAAGATTTTTATTATATTATAAAAAAAAATACATGTATTATTAAAGATTTTTAATTAGTTCTTTAATTATAAAAACAATTTCAGCAATAACTCGCAAAGTGCGGTTTCGAGTCCGGATTCAATATAATTTGGTTTCAATTTTTTTTTGTACATAAATTTTAGATTTGTCCCCTTCACTCAAGTTTATTTTTATGCGGTTTATTTCTTTTTTTTATGTATTTAGCTTGTCGATTAGAACGTATCTTATTGAATGATTACTTAATACATCTTTCAGTGCGTTTTGCAAATAAATAAATATTATTTAAATCATTATATAAATTCAGATAAAATTTATTATTTAGAATAATTTTTAATAATGTGACAGAAAAACATTTGCTTTCAATTATTGTAATTAATGTTTTTTTATTATACCAAGTATTTCTTTAGTCTTAATTATCTTAATTATCCTTAATTATTTTTTTGTTATATAAGAATATGTTACAAACTTTTATTGCATAACAAATGACTATGGATTTGATACATTAAATTACAAACAAGTACATACATCACAAATATAATAAATATTATTTTATGTAATATTCAAGTAAATATATTTTTGGGAATATCGAAATGGATTTAACATGGAGGTAACATCTTTATTGTTAATTACAATTAATAAACATTGTTTTTATTAAATATAAAAAAATCACATATTTCCATAAAACATACATAAATTTTAAGTTTATTTTTTAATTTTCCATAATTCTTAAATTAAACATAATTTGTGAAAGGATTTGGTGTCGTTTATTGTTGGTATAGAATTTATTAAAAATAAAAAAAAAATATGGTTGTTAGTCTTTTGTTTTTGCAATAAATTTTTGTTTTAAATAATTCGGTATAAATTTAAGAGAAAAATTGAAATATTTGGTTTAATATTTATTTAAGTTCTAAATAAAATATTAATTTGTTAATGAAAAATAATAATTTATAAATTCAATTAAAAATCGCAACTTATAATTAATATTATTTGTAATAAAAAAAAATGATCACTTACCGTTTAGTAAATTATCCTAAAATACAAGATGACAATAAAATTTGTAATTTATAAATAGTAAATTTTAAATTATTTGAGTCAATAATTATTTTTATTGGAAAAATTAAGTAAATAATCAAAATTGTTGTAGTCAAATTAATCACTTACCTTTGGAAGTTTTCTGATGTTTGCGTAAATCGACGAAAAAAAAAGAAATTAGAAAAATTCACATCAAAAGCATTTTATTTAATGAATTATGTCATTACATTTGATTGCGCATAAGCTTTTTGCAGAGATAATCCTAAACTTAGGTATATTATTAACCTAATAACTTAATACTATTTATTTGGCTTTAGGATGAAACTAATCATCTTTAAGTTAACCATACATTCTACGTATAACTTCGTCCATATTGTAAAATGGTATAAACAATATAACGAATGGTAGTAGTCGTTCGCCATATCGCCTTCTCATCAGAAAATAGGCGAAATAGTTGTCTATGATGAACTCATGATATAAGAGTATCCGGAATACAGTCACATATGCGAACTATATAAGAATAGACATGAAGACAATTACATTAATTGACAATTGACATTAATGAACAAGTTACTTACCAGCATTCCAGAAATCATGCCGTATATGATACCATTAAAGATGGAACTGATGGTCGGCATGGACGTGATGAAAAACGACGTGAACATTTTGAAGAACAATGCCATAATCCCTATAGTACTTAGAGGTGCCATAACAGGATTGTAATATTGGTAGCAGTGAGGCAATGTCATTGAGAAACTCAGTAGGAAGCTAACGAGTAAGAACATTAAGCTAATGTTCATCCAAACGCAGATCTTAGATATCATCTGGTAAATGAGTAAACTGAAGACGCACCTAACTGAAATATGTTTGTGTCAAAAATAATTTCATCTTATTCTACCTTCAATTACTTACGTAATCTTCGGAAATCCATGTTTGCTGCTCAACTTATTATATCCTCTCAAAATTCCTGTGTTTTTGTATGTTATGTTTATTTGTTTTTTTTTTACTCTAAATGTCTTCAAGTTTTTTTTTTGCAATTAACTAATTTTTTAGTAAGTTTTCCCGTCAAATATGCAATGAATGTTTTTTAAACTTTTTCCAACTTGTCACTTTTCTTTTATTCTTTAATCTATCAAATTTTCTTTTATTTATTTATTGATGAATTTACTTTTAAGATTTTTATTTTTCAAATTTTTTATGAAATTTTTAATTTGTTTTAGTTTTACTGTAAATCTTTTTTATAATATACTTCTTCTTCCTTTTGTTCTTTTTTTTTATTGATTCACAATCAAATATTAATTTATTTTTTGTTTTTGTAATTTAGTTTCTTTCCAATATTCTAGTCTCTTTAGAAAGAGTTAAATCTTGTTTATGTAACAAAATCTAGGATTTCATAAAGAAATTGTGAAAAGATCTTAAATATCTTCTTAAATCTGTGCTAACATTAGTTCTTTTTTCTCTCTAAACCTTTCTAAATTATTACGAATATTTGTGAGATTCAGCAATATTTCTCAACAATTCTAATTATGATATGTGATTCTCCGATTTGCAATTGCTCTGTCATCGTTCTTTGTGAATTACTTTGTTAAATTATGAAAATGCAGATGATGATAGTTTAGTCAATTGAATAATCTGTATTTTTTTAGATTTTTTTTTTGATGTTTCGTTTCTTATTGATTTGTTCTAAATGAAATGATGCACGTTTCGTTCTCTCAATCTATATCCAACTCTCCAAACTTCTTCCCAATGACAATGACGTAATGAGGATTAAAGAACGATGACGCTAATCATTGCATTTTACATGCAAAATAAAACAACGCTTTGAAGATGAGCATCATTGCAATAAGAAATAAAATGAAGAGACAGATATAAAGTATTGTAGACCAGGAAGCTGTCATAATGACTTAACTTTATTTTCCTGTTACAATTTTATAAGTAGAAGTTTAATTTATTTCTTAATTATCTTATTTTAAGTCTTAATTACTAACTTTAAATCAGTGTTTAAAAATGTTTAGATATTGATGCAAACTGTTCTATTAAGCAAAAAATTTTTTTTTTCGAAAATAAGAAAATATTCTCGAAATTTCAATTGAGCAAATTATTCAAGTATGCAGGCTCAATTTCCAACTAATAATAATTGTGATTGAAGCCTAAACGGTGCAGATATTGAAAATCTGCTTATATTGAATTAATTTTGAAGCTTTTAAATTGATTATGCGTGATTACTATTTATTTGAAGAAGAAAAAAACAAAATTAAATACTAAATTAATTTTAACTTACGATTATAGTTTTGCAAGTAATTTCGAGTTTATATATTACTTTAGTTATGTTTGAAGTATTTTAAATATTTCAAATAGTTATTTTTTTAAATATTTTACGTGTTTTAGATATTTGAAAACTTTATTTTCAATGCAATATTTTACTTGCAAAACTCCTTACAATATTAATTATGAATTAATAATAATTTTAATTTAGTAATTTAGATTTTTTTTCACTTAAGCTTAATAAGTCATCCGGAATGCCGTTATATAAAGTCGTTGAAACAATATTCAAATCAAATAATCATTCAAGTAATATCAATAACTTTTTTTTTTACTATTTATTTAAATTTAAGTAAAAATTTCGTGCGTTTATTTATTTTTTTTATATAAAAAAAAGTGTATTTAAATTTTGAAATTATTGCAATTTTTTACTGAAATTTATAGACTTTTTTTCTACGACTTTAATTGGCTGAATGTTCTTGCGATTCCTGACTTTTTTTTTTGTTCTTCGATAATGAGACTTATTTTTTTTTGTTCGTTTTCTTTTTGGTGCTTATCTTAATTACTTTATATTTAAGCTTAAATCTCTAATTACATCTATATTACTTAAATTATATCTTAAATTAATTGAATATTTATTAGTATTTCAAGCGGTTTTCTTAGTTGCGTTCTATATTTAGATCTAAATTGTTTTTTTTTCTTCAATTATTTCTTAATTTTATTGAATTCAAGCGTTAATATTAAGTTTTTTTTTTGTGTCTACAGTTAAGCATCAATTATATCTATTATTTAAATTATTTCTTAATTTTATTGAAGTTCTAATTAAGCGAAAGCGGAAAGCTGTTATAATGACTACTTTTTTTGTCTTTCAAAACAAATATTTTGTCTTCGAATTTTTTTTTTGTCTTTGATTTTTTTTCTGTAATTTTAGACCCGAATTTAAGTAAAATATATGAATTTTTAACGTATTTTGGAAATTATTTTTAGCTGATTTATGATTCGAAAGAAAAAAAATGTTTTTAAATAATTGAAAATGAGATTGAATTTGGAAATAATAGAAAAGCTTAATAAATCTGCATTTTAAATGAAATGTGTGTGGAAAAGAAAATATAAAATTTGAAATAAAAAAAATATAAGTTTATTCGGGGAATGTATGTGATGAGTTATGTTCTGTATTCGAGTCGCTGGTAGAAGAATCTTCAGTTCCACTGCTCAGATTTACATTGAGACGGACAACTTCGATAAGCTGTGGTTCTCTTTCAAAAATCTGCTGATTAAATTTCTGATTTTGCGAATTCGTCAAATCGTTTGATTTGAACTTGTTATTCAGAGCCACGAGTAATACCTGTTTTTTTAGCAAAGTATAAATTGTACAAAAAAATAATTAAAACTTACGCTTAATATAGCGAGGAATACCCCTAGCAGCATCCCACAGATTAATGAAGCTCGTTTGTCGATGTTGGAGATCACAAAGCACAATAGAAGTATTACGCAGATGGAGTAGAATTGGATGTGATCTAGCAAACTCGTTCTGAACAGTCTCCTGTAGATGAATCCATAGATTATCGGTGAGCAGAAGGAGTAGGTGATCAGCGAAGCCCCGGTTGAAACAGAATCGTTGGTATATTGGTGAAATAGAATTCCAACCAATAGTCCAACAAGAAAAAAAACTGCGATTAAATGATATGAAATAATTTGGATAAAATTTAAAACAAAAAGTTTTGTACTCACAAATGTAACCGACATTAGAAACACTAGGAGCTGCCATTCTCAACCGAGGTTCATGATACACTGGTGATGATGGCACGCAGCCTGTTGCACGTAGCATTAAATGCATATACATGCATCCTCTCTTCATTACATTTCGAAGGATCGGCGCAAAATCAGAGGAGTCCTGAGCTTACCAACAAATACGGACGCAGGATATCCAAGGTGGGCGGGAAATAGGAGTGAACAATACACATCGGTGCCTGCGTTTTACAATATTTATTTTGTCATACATCAAACTACGGAATAAATAGAATTTTCTTCTAAAAGATTCTGTCCTCTCTCTCCGATCCACGCTCAAATCCCCCTCCCCAAAGGCGATAAAACCCTCCCCCAATAAAACACAACCCTTCTCCACTCGCCCACGCTATCATCCCCATCCTCTTCCGATAGCCCCTCTCTGCAATCCCACACACAATCTCGCCTTTATTAGTGAAAATTAAACAAACAAATATCAAATTAAACTTAACAAAACGCAATCAAAATAACAGGACAAATCTTCATCCTACGCATACAAATCAAATTTAAGTTTTTTTTTTGTCAAAATTGATTTTTTTTACAATATCACAATATCCCCAGTATTAGAAACTCCTAATACTAAAACTTATCGATATGGCTTTCTATACATTTCCTCCCCTAATCTTAAAGAATTAAATTCCTTCAGAACAGAATCATAATTATGTGCATAAAAAACGGTATTTCTACCGTTAAAATGCACAATTCTACAAATCTATTTACACATATATTTTTTTTTGGTTGTTAATTTACACATCTTTTTTTTGCTCGTTCAATTAATTTTTTTTGCCTTTTTTCCTGCTGGGGGTGGATTCGGTGTCAGGAATTTCTAACTAAGTCTACACCATTGTTCTAAAAGGGTAACATCTGCAAAAGCACACTGTAATTTCCTAATATGCTTCATGATTATAACCAACTTTTTTTAAAATTTACTTCTCTTTTCTCTACTCAATTAGCACCTGAATTATCCTGCACGAAAATCGCTCTCAATCTCATAAACATATTAGAAACTACAAGCGTTTCCAAACAAACTCAGCCTAACACGCATTAAATCCTTAAGACATCCCTATAGGATTTAAACATTACTCTATTGTAATTATATATTTTTTTTGGGTCCTTTGGTGTAACTTTAGGATCGAAAATGAAAATTGATAATCGATTTTTTTTCAATTCATTTACTATTCTAAAGTTCACCAACAAGATTTTTTTGTACACATCGATTCTAAAATCTAAAATTCTTCCTAAATCACATTTCTAAAACTATTCATTTCATAATCAGAGAATACAATCATTTTGCCTGCGCTTTTCATTTCTTAGAAAATTAAATTTAAATTGTCGTTTTTCTCTTATTTGTGTGCGTAGAAAAATTTGAAATGTTGGAGTAACTGAAAAGTGTGTGAAACAAAAAATATATTTTTCAGTGCGATATATAAAACAAGACTTGTTCGTGCAATTTCGAACGTGTTTTCGGGACGTGAAAAAAATAGCTAAAGCATCACAACAGTTCCAGTAAGGAATGCTGAATGATGGTAGCCAATTTGTAAATAAAGCTATGTACTTTCTCTCTCCTTTGGACGCACAAATGTGAGCACTACTCATAACCCATCAATCTCAACCATTACATCTGTACTTAAGGATTATGATAACCTTATTCTCGTTGTAAATTTATAGTTATACCATTTAGTAACAATCTAGTTTCGTTTATTAAAGCAAATTATTTAATTGTGAAAATTTCAGATTATAGGATGAATATTTTTTTCAGGAATTAACAACATATTTTTTTTCAGTATAATTTTATTTATGGATATTGACTAATAAGATTGGTATGAAATTATACAACATCAAAGATTTCAGTGTAACAATTTGGTACATAAATTCGAAACTAGATCATCTGAAACAATTTGGCAAAGATGTAAACTTGGCTATAACTTGTGGTAACTCATGCATCAATCAGTATGCATGTCACGATGCTGCAAATAAAAATGTTCCATGTTTAGGAAATAATACTTGTTGCTTGAGACTTTTGACGTCGTAAAAATATTGCAGGAATATTATGCTGCCGCCTCCAGTACTTAAGTGCTCGTAAACTATACATAAAGTATGCAGACCGAACAACAAAATCCATACAAGTTGTTTGTTGGATATTCAAGTTTCATGAAAGCAACAAGGAAGTTTCATGAAACATGAAAAAAAATGTTTTTTTTTCCTTCTTCTTAGTTAATTTAAATTGAACGCCTGCTTGTCGTGTTTGTCCAAGTTGGAATGTTTACATAACAACTTGTCCGAAAATATGAGTGTCACGTTGCAACGCAAACGGATCTCGATGCACGTGCGTCCATGGAAACGGCAATGGAAGTTATCGATCGAAGCCTGTATTTTATCACGTTAAACTGCAAAGTGTTATTGCTCATTCAATTAATAATCATAGCACTTAATCAACAACTTACGCAACGCACGCTGTCATATGATCATCAATTGTTGGTATATTTTTTTTAAGCTTTTTTTTTAGTAATTTTGTAGTTATTATAAAATTATTTAGTTATCGGAATTAAGTTATATGACCATTCTATTGGTGGTTTTCAAATTTCAGTATTGAGTATTATTGAGTGATATAGTTAATAATCAAGCTGTGAAATCGACAATGGTAAATAAATTTTATATAAGAAAAGTTGTTGTGAGCGCATCCGTGTAACATGATATAATTCTCACATACACTTGATCCTCGAGAGGCAGCATAATATTTGTTTAGCAAATAAATTACAGTATAACATGGAGTCAACAAGTTTATGCCGTGTCTTAAGTCTTAAGCCGTGTTCAACATTTGTACGTCTTGCAGGCATAATGACGATTTCTTCTTCGTAACCATCTAAAAACTATATTCACCTACGAGTGTATATATGTATATATATATTTGAGTGTATAGATAAATCTTTTGGTATATAATTGTTATATATGCATCAAGTATTGCAGATGCACGAAAGTTCGTTAAAATAAATTTGAGAGAAAAAAATTTTTTTTTGCTTCTTGTTAGATCTGAGGGAAAAAGTAAATTCGGTAAAAGAAAAATTATTATTTTTTATTATATATTTTGTAAAATAAATAGTTTTGTAGCAAAAAGGAAAGATCCGAGTCGAAAATATATCCTCTAAGAAGTCTTGCGTACGATGTAAAACGGTTTAAAAAAATAGAACAGTCTTTTCGTTATCAATAAACAAATTCTTTTTCTTCACGCAGAAATTTCGCGTTATCCCCTACTTCAAATTGTTTCAATCCACTTTTAAACATCATCTCACAAATTGCGTTCACGTAACCAAAGAAATTTAATAGAAAGGTTCATTTTACAGTTTTCAGTATTCAGTTGTCCGAGTCGCGTTAGCCGTGTAATATAAGCGTTTTGTTGTATCCTTAGTTTTAGCAATTTTTTTTTTCTCCAGCAACTGAAAAATATATTTTTCCCTTCTTCCTCACTTTTTTTTCTCTGTCTTTCATCATCATCGTTGCCGGATCATTTTCCAAACCCCGTCTTGTGGGGGTCCTATTTTCAAATCCGCCTATTTTCGCGGTTCTTTCTTGTTAACTTTATGCGCGCAAAGATGATTAGCAGCGACATCATATTTTTAGGCAAAACAATTAACTGTCTAAATTATATTAACAATGCCATCAAACGATACGTATAATATCATGGAAATAAACTAAGACAAATCCAATAAAAACTAATCAAAATTAAAGCTAAAAGGAATCAAAAATATTTTAGAAATTAACATAATTCGATAAAAAAAATAAATTTGTAAAATTCATAATCTTATTAATTACTTTCTTATTACTTAATTAAATGGACGAAAGTCCCTTAAAGTAAACTTATTACTAATCACTACATCTTAATTAATTTGCTTTAAGTTCATTTAATGTACCATTTATTAAGTTCCCTTAATAAATGATGTTTTAATTGATATGATCATTTATGTACAATTAATAAATATTTGTTAAATTACGTAACCAATAATAACGCGCAATGTGATATGGAAAAGTTACGTTAATTTAACAAATAAAAGTACAAAAAAAACTTAAGACTAAACTAACCTCAATGCGGTGTGACCCAAAGTACGCACTGAAATTAAAGTTATGTAACTTTTGGATCACCCGATTGTACTATTTGCTCTTAACCTAAATAGTATTCAAGTAAAAGTTTTTTTTTCTTAAATTATGTCTTATGCGTACGAGATGTATCAATTAATTTAATTTAGGAATATTTGATTATAGCATTTTGATTATTTTAAAGGATTTTTTAGTGTTAAGCTTAAAGTTTAACTTATTATTAGTTTTGATATATATATGTAAATATTACTATAAATATATTAAAATTTAATGTGAAGTATTGACTAGATTAATTAAATTGGTTTTAGTTAATTGAGATGTGGTCTCCAAATTTATTGTAAATTAAAGCTGTGGTTTTTTGAATTTATACTGATTTGATATAGATAGTTGAAAGTTATTTGTTTTGAGAATAAACTATTTTATATAATATCTTATTTCAATAGACTATATATACTTCAATACTGTTTAACAAGTAATACTGCTTAGGTAAAAGTATCTGATGGTTATGGGTGTGGAGATGTGACTCATCCGCTGTCCACAGCCATGGAAATCCGATGGCACGGACGTCTCCAGCTATGGTACAAATCTTTTAAACGTATCTAAATGCTTTGTACCATTGAGCTTCCCATACCAAAACCGAAGATCAACTATCGCGTTACCCAACTTAGTCACCAGATGGATGAACCATAGCGGTGTCATTATATAATAAGTAATTCTGAAAGAGTAAGTTGTTTATGGTGAGTTTACCATAAACAACTTCTATTGTGGAAAGTGCTTAAAGCTAACTTACATATAGATGTGGTCCTGCTATGCTAAGTTAGGTTCCGTTCGAATTAAGCTAAAGGGCGAACTTAAGTTAGGGAACTCTCCTCGATGCTAGGGCTGGGCAGAGCTGGACTTGGTTCGCCGTTGATGGGGGTTTTAGGTCCCAACCTTGGAGATGACCGCGAGTTACTGGTTACAGAGTGGACTGTCTGTGACCGCGGCCCGGTAAACCTCATACTGTATGCTGGTCTATCCGCGGCGCCACCCTGAAGAGAAACATCTACTTTTCAATTGCTAAAGCTATGTTCAACACACGTAAACCATCAAAGACAACATCTAAATAAGGACACGCGGTTGGCTGGGGGGACAGCGGGAAATAGAGGGAAATATCTGAATATTAAAAAAACTCGAAAGCGTTTTGTCCTCTGCCTCTGTCTTCCCTGTAAGCTTCCTCTTCCATTTATTTTTTTTTTGATGTTTCTGTACCATAAAGCATTTTCATTTCGCGGAGTGCATAAAGAAAAAACGAATTGTGCAAATATTCGGCTCCCGTTTCATAACCTATTTGTACATTTTTCTTTTTTTTTATCCTTTTTGATTATGAGGACCTGGACAATTTACGAAGGTGGGTTTATCGGGCGGAAGTAAATTTAAGTTTACCTGATTGCCGTTCCCGGTTTGACGGACGTTCTTGTAGGGTTGGAATAGAACCAGGTAGACTTTCGGTACGAACAGGCAGCCGAGGACGACGGAAGCGCTGATGTTCAAGCACATGCACACGCTGACAATTTGGATCTGGAATTTTATGAATAAACACAAAAAAATTATAGTAAATTTAGAATTGATTTATGTTACATGTACAACTCAAATAATACATTTAGTGTATAAATGAAACAAAACTATGTAAAAGTAATTTTTTTTAAATTATAAAAAACAGAAATATTGTAAATTTTAACTTATTAAACAGGTTAAGTATAGATGAAGTGTTTGTTCGAGATACAAAACTATAATTTTTTCAAGTAGCTTGAGGATCCCATGTATTTTCTTAATGTTAGATTGGATTTTAATAAATATTGTAATTTGAGTGTTTTAAAACTTACCTTGTAATCGTTGTTGGTTCCAAAATAGATTGGGAGAAAAGCAAGCCATACGATGCATGTAGAGTACATGGTGAAGCCAATGTACTTGGCCTCGTTGAAGTTCTCTGGGATCTTCCTGGTTTTGAAGGCATACCAAGTGCATAAAAGGATGAGGATCATATTGTATCCAAGAGAGAGTATTAGTGAATAGGTGGAAACGCGACATGTCAACACGGCTGTTAGCGGATACGGATAAATTTCTCTGATGTCCGGACGATCGATTACCAGCCAAATTATAGAACCGACCAGTTGAATGGAGACGATACCTAAAAATAATACAAGAAATATTATTAGTATTATGATTGACAAGTATAAAATTGTTTTATATTTCTTACCTAAAGATATTGCGACTTGCGAGATGGGCGAGGTGTAGACGGGACGTTTGATGCTTTTGACGCCTCGATTGAATATTCTGGAGATGCGATTGGTTTTTGTGAAGATAGCACTGTAGCATATGCTCAAGCATAGGCCTAATCCTATACGCATAATAGCGCAAGTTTCCACAGTAGGTTCTGCTAGGATCACGAAGGACATGGAGTAGCAACTGCATATGCCGAATAAGAGCACGTAGCATAATTCTCTGCCTGAAGCCATGATCACAGGTGTCCGGTTGTACCGTATGAAAACGCATGTCGTAAAGAGTGTGAGAGATATTCCAATACCACTGAATATCAGAGGAGCCAGAGCCCAGGCGTTCATCCAATCGATCACCAAAGCTTCTAGCTTGATGCACCCGGTTTTATTTAAGTTCGGAGCGTAACCTGGGGGGCAGGTTCTACATGTGTCGTTAAATACGAACGCGTCTTCTCGACAGGCTACGCAAATCCAGCAGCATTGATCCTGAAATTTACGTACATTTCAAATACCTGTCCGATACACTTGCACCTTATTAACTCTATTTTTCCAATGACGCATATCGTATAAAAAAAAACAATAGCAGCGTTTGTGTATTCTGTACATGAACGTGACAGGATTGTTTAAAACATAAATCCTTTCTTATTTATGCAACGTTTTCTAATTACTTCGTACGTCAAAACAATATCTACATTTATACATGTTAATAATCTTCTGCTGACGTAAATATTTTTTTTACATGAAATATTCACTTTATTATTATTATCTGGAAAATCTGCTCCAGGATTCGGTAATAAATATTGGCGTATTTGTTTCGTGCGTTAAATATATGATTACGTCAGGAGCCATATACTTCTTTAGCGGCAAAAACGGGTGAGCGAAATCTGCGGAACAACCCTTCCTTAATGATATTGCTATTAATCATGTAACTCCCTAAACGTTTCTAAAAACCCTGTTGATCCTCGAGAACAACTTCTGGTATACATCTAAATAAGATGTATTAATGTGTGCCATTAAAACTAATACAACCTATTTCACATTATTCATAATTACAGCAAAAGTTTCTCATAAACATCAACCCTCAAGCGGAGCCGATCGAAATCCCGACATTCGAAATTCTGACAAAGATAATCTTGACAGTATCAACAGTATCTATCTTTTACAAAGAAATTACTAATTAATTTTAATTGTGATCTTTCTCTTGTTGCAATAATTTAATTAATATTTTAGTGAAATGTAATTATTGAACCATCAATGATGCTTGTATGAAGATGAAAAACAAGTTTTCTAAGTGCTGAAGAATGTATGATCATTAATCCTTCGCAGATGTAAGTTCCTTATGATTTATCCTGCGAGGTATGATAAATGAAGTGTGCAAGTACATCGCTTGCAGGATAGTAAGTAAAGGATAATTACTTGATAATTGCGGATGTGTCCTGATGGGCACGTGTGGCTGCAAATCGAAGTTGGGATGTCCTTCCTGTCTCGCCATTCCAGGTGCTCCAACTTCAAATCGAGACTGCAACATAAACACAAACATATATATAAAATACAACGTTTCCACTCGAAAACGATTATGAACAGGACGATTTGCGCAAACAGATTTTACTAACATTAAATCTCGACACAATTATCAGTCAACAATTTCATCTAATTTTATAATTATCCGCAGGACTTTGCATTCCTCAAATGTGCAAAAAAAAAAATAATTTGATTAATGATTGAAAGGTAAAGCTTTTTTTGCTCTTCCAAAAAATGTAGCTTTATAAAAAAAGTGATGTTCTACCTTCAAAGGGACGTCGATTTACGTGGAATCAACAACTGCTTAAAATAGAACCGAGGATTAAAATAAATTACGATTCGCTTCTTTAAATCGGCACTTTATTCATCCGGTTACCATGAAAATATCCAGAGGAAATGAAGAATACGGCAGAAATTCATAAAGAGATAATAAAACTGCGCAGTCATAAAAGCAGTAATAAGCTTATACGTAATATAACTTTTTTTTAGTTTACTCATATTTTTTTAAATTATTATTAAGGTGAGTAGACATGGTTTGCTTAGTTAATTACAGTTTGTAAAGAATATTCAAATTTTTATATTTCGTAAACTACTTTCAATACTAATTATTCGCAAATAAAATACTTCTATTCAATTACATTTAAATAGTTTGATTACCGAATTTTATCAATGTAACCGAATTTGAACGAAGTTAGACCGAAGTTAGACCGAATTTGATTTCCGAAATGGAATTTCGGTCACTTTGACCGAATTTTAACGGAGTTAGACCGAATTTGACCAATGTTTTTCAGAATTTGAACGGAGTTAGACCGAGTTTGACAGAATATGATTTGCAAAACCGATTTGAACTTGAATTTGATTTCCGAAGCTGTATAAGTTATTTTTAAAGATATATTTCTATAAATCTTAGTAAATTTATTATATCACATACATATATTTACAACACCATCATAAACATAAAAAAGTTACCCATTAGAGATTACTTCATTAGTTTGGGGATGAAAATCAATATGTTCGCCTTTATATTAATTAAATGAAATATCAGTGAGGGACAAATGAAAATTGATTTGACAATTCCATTAATTTAATCAAACGTATCATGCGTGTGCATTAAAAGCGATCCATGTTTTTTCTCCCCATTAGTTCTATACCGCATAGCTTTTATGCACAATCACGTAAACGAGACAAAAAATATATACGGAACAATTTTTTAATTAATGTATCATTCAATCATTGTTAGGTAAAATTTGTTCCAGCATTTCCGTCAAAGTTAAAAGCAGTTCTGTTTTTTTTTCTGGGAATACTCGATAATCCATTAACAAAAAAAATAGATGCAATGCAGATGTAATTTCACAATAAAAATGAAATAATCCTGTGCAACGCAGGATTACAGCAGCCATGATATGCTTTTTCTTTTGTTCTGAAAGCTTTACTGTGAATTTAATAACGTACATATATAATGCAGAAACTACGCATCGAAAATATTCCTAACTCAAATATTAAAAATAAATAAATATATTTATAATTTTGTTGTAAAATATCAACAAATTTATTATAAATACTTGAATTAAACTATATTCTTATAGTGTTATATAAAACTTACACTTCATTAAAAAAAGTAATTAAAATTTTGCAGAACTATTGTCTAATCTATCATGACTACAACTGAAAAAGACTAGTTTAGAACTAAGATTCGATGACTTGTAATAACATTGGATACATTCGCCCGGAAAGGGTTAAATTCTGTTGTAGTGAATGTTTTTAGCGGTTAGATTTGTCATATTGTATTTGTGATTTGGATGTGATGACATGTATATTGCGTTGATGATGAGGACCGTTGGGAGTTGAGATTAAACAGTGCTTCGTAACAATCGGCGTTTGCAAATTAACTTTGAAATTGGGTAATATGGAAAGATCGAAATTGACGCCGTGGGGATGCGAAAATTCCAATCATGCCATCATCGACTCAACAATATTTTTTTTTCCACGTTTGCAANNNTATAGCATAGCTCACTCACATCGCGCCTCACGCTGTCTATTCTCAGGTCCGACGCGTTGCATAATAGGAAAATGGAACACAGCTAAATGTTAATTTCCGGTGAATAACTTCCTAGTCGATACCAATTGTACTTAATAAAATATGAAGGTTTTCAGGTTTTTTTTTTGTAAAAATTTTAATACAATAAAATATTTGCTAAGATTATAATACCTTTAATATATTTATAACATTAGCAAAAGCTAAAGTCTCAAAAGTAGGTAGAAGCAAAATAGTATAAAACAAAAAATATGTATATTTTCAATTCTCAAACGAATTTTACGTTTGTAAATAAATTGTTTATTTATAATAAAAACACTGCGAAATATTTGTATTTTCCACCAATCATTTTATATATTGTTCATGCCCCAACGTGTAAATCGCTGAATATTTGATAATTTTAAAATTGCATGTATTTTTTTTGTTGAAACTCTATACATGATGTGATTTATAATGTGCATATTAATGATTTAAAGGATGCAAAGATTTTATCAATGCTTTTGACAAATATTGTGTGAAAATGTTGTAAACAAATTGTTTATTCATAATAAAGGCTTTGCAAAATGTGTGTATTTTTCATTAAAAATTTAATATTTTTCCTCCAACGCATGTAAAAAAAAATAAAATAAAATGTGCAAATATTTGGATTTGTATAATTCAAAAATTGCTAGTATTGCTTCGATTTAAAGTATTTAATTAATGATATATAACATGGACTTATTTCAAGAAATGTTATAGGATCAAGAGATTTTTTTTTGTATTTTTAATATTTAATCGTGTAAATATAGCTCAAATAGGTCCCTCACAGAGTAATACTAGGGCCCACGACAAAGATTTGAAATTTACCAGTAGGGGGTAAAAGTATACATTTACTAAATTCTCTTTTGAGAAAATATAAAAAGTTTTATTTCTTAATTGTTAAAGATTATATAAAAAATATGTAATTGTCTATGTCTATTAGTATTTATTTTTTAATAAAAAAAAATCATAACATTTCTGATCTTTTGAATATATTCATTCATTTTAATTGAATAGGATGATTTTTGTCAACCTTTGACATTATTTTTAACCGCTTATTATTAGAGTATCTTTGTACTTTTATTCGAGATCAAAAATATTTATTCGTGCATTACTAATGTGTTTCATTTAACTCAGTCTGCCTTTCAAATACGCAATTTCCATTATTACCATTTTTAGGGAGAAAACGCAGAGGTAAACTTGCACTGTTTAGGAGTAAAAAAAATGGTAGTTTGGGGGGAAGGGATGGAATAGAGGTGATGATGAGGGGGAGTCATCACATCCAATTACATATGCCGGTGTTAGCTAACGCGAGCAATTTTCGACGCGCTGACCAGGCAACAGGACCCCCCAGATGAGCAACCCCTTTCCCCTCAATTTCCCCCACTCAACATGTGCCACCCCTAACGCCAGTCGCAGCAATTCCCCCCACTCGTTTATTATCATTCACGTTGGCTCGTATCGATTTAATATGAAATTATTAATGCCGGAACGATGGGCTCGAAGAAAAATTAAAATTCCATTTCCACAAGATGACATTAAGCGAGAACGTTTTAAGGTGTCATTCTTAAGTGGATCACAGATGAAACGTGCTACTTCTTCTTCCTTTTTTGTTTCATAATTCAAAGTAAAAATCACTTTCAGCACAAAAATACCAATTTTTATATATTTTTTTAAGTGACAACATTTAACTCCTATCATAGATTTAATAACATACAAAATAATTAATTAATTTAGTTTTAACTAGACATTAAAATAATTGATGATTTCCGTACAAATGCACTAAAAAAACTCTTCGGTTTAAGAATTTCGGTTTCCTATGAAAAAAGTAAACAATTTCACTGAAATTTCCTAATGACCTTAAAGACGCAATAAACCCTATAGAAATTAAAAGTTGCATAAAAGAATTTAACGTGAATTTCAAACAATTTTTCAGAACTTTTAATGTAGCAAATAAAGGACAAAATATAATTTGAATATTTTATAAATAATGATTTTTAGTTGAAAAAATAACCAAATTTATTTAAATAGTGATAATTAAAAAAAAACAATAAGATTTACATATTTCCAAGCTGTGGTCAATAGCCCTTTACAACATTTCCAAAAATATTCATTTGTTTCGTTACATCAAAAGTTTCGAATAAACTCTTTATGATTTAATTGAAAAATTGTAATAGGTAACAAAAATACGTTTCCAATAAATATTCTACATAAGCTGTAATGCTCTGTGTGGAAATGTATGTGTTTCGTAGAAACACAAAGGGCTTTATCGAATAAATAATTCCTAATATTTCCGTTTTTTTTAATAATGCATTGAAAACGTCACAAAGCGTTGGCCCTTTGATGGTAGAAATCTGAATTAATTTCACTAACGATGTAAAATGTTATTCAATTTATTTTCATTTTGTGCGTCACAATTTGATTTTGTGCGTCATTATTTAAAATATATTTTTTGCCATTAGAATAACTAAAATAATGATGTTTTCGCTGAAACGTTAATTAAAGAAAAAAACAAAAAAAATTATTAATAACAAAATGTCATATCATAAAAGTTCATATAATGATGAATTTGTTTGTAAATTTATGTTGAAAATCTGTTATCAAAGGCAGATAGACTTTTAGTCTTTATATTTTGCCACTTCTGCAAAATGTAATAGTCTTTTTGACCAAACGTCTAACGACCAAAGTTTTTCAGTTAAAAATTATTATAAAATTCAATTGAATTAAAATCTGGTATAGAAAAATTGTATGAAATATTATATATGGAGAGGATGCAATAATAATATAGGAAAATTGATTTCAGTACACAATGCAGTTTGCTTCGCGTGTCCGAGAGATTTCACCAAAAACCTCCCCTATAGTCGGATATGGAATATATTCCATTCTATAGAAATACACTGCATTCAGGAATTACGGAGTACTGCCTTCCGTAAACATCCAATTCCGATTTATATCCATTTTCAATATTTGATTCCGTATTATGCTTTATGCGACTTTCGAGCATTACTTATAGCTCGTTTTCTGGCAAACATATATAGAATCTGCGTCGATACGCAATTTGCTCGGGTTTTTCTATTATGCAAGCAGACCCTCGTCTTGACGTTGCGAACCATAATTTTCCATCGTGTTAAACACAGCTTTTCTTCACAAATATGATTATCCTTAAATTTACTTAGACTTCACTTGACAAATAAGATTAATACGTTTTTGTTACAACTTATACTTATGTAAAATAAACTTGTAAACACCAATTCATTTAATTTATATATGTTACTTCATATCTATAAGAAAACTAAAGTATTTGAAATTAAGTTTTAAATGTTGTCATCTAACTATGACTACATCTGAAAAAAAAACTTTGAAGACATATATATATATATAAATATTGTAATTAATATCAATTAAAAATATAAATTTAATTATCTTAAATATAAGACGTACCCTAGTAGTAAATCATATATAATTTATACTTATAATTAATAAAGGTCGCTGTTGTTTGTCACAATATGTCGCTTTTACAGCCTGCAAATAATATACGATCTTAATATGCAATTTAATAACATATTATGCTCAATTTGCTATTATAAACCGTGGCGAACATACTGTTAATAGTTGTAAACACATTCTAATTAAATCCGGGAATCGGCGAAACATCAAACGCATGGATAGATATGTCTCTCTCCTAGCCACTGACGCCATGACGTAATGCATATAATTAATAATTTGCGTATACATATGTATAGTTTGCATTCTTGGATGGAAGAAGGGTTTGTATTTCGCATCCATTGTATATTTTGCGGTTTGAGGATTCATGCCATTTCCATGGCTACAGGACTTGAATATCTGATCTAATGATATTGCGGAATCCCTCAAAAAAAAAACCATATGTTGATCATTAATGCGCATCAGAGGATGCATTCATATTCATGCGAATAACATTCGGGATGGCAACCCCAGCAATAGGAATTGATTAACTGTCGTTTAACAGGGCTGCTACATATGTCCCACAAATATTTTGCCACCAAATTTTATTAGGTCGTCAACCAGTCCCAATTACTTGCTATGCCGATCGCGTCCCTTCGAAATTGATTTTCCCGCCCTCCGAATATATTTAGCTTCGTTTTTTTTCTACTTTCTTTCTCATCTTGGAAGAAGACGCAGCTCATTTCTCGTCGGTTTTTATTTTCTAAAGGTAATTTATGTAAAGCCTCATCCAATGAACGCGCCGTCACGCATTTCATTCTTATTCATGATGGATTTTATATTCAATGATTACGCGAAAGTAGGAAACAATATGCACTGTACTTACACCTCCTTCCAAGAGCCAATCTGTTTGTAATCGTATTTTCCGTCCTCGTGCTTTTGATACTGGTAGATGTTGTAGCTTCCATAGGCATCTCCATCAGAGTTGAACTTCACCTCAGTTTTTTGTTTTCCTGCAAAACATATTAATAGTATTAAAAAACATTTAATTTATTTTAGTCTAACAACAAATATGTATATGATTTAATTATTATTTGTATATTAGTAACCTAAATATAACTTAAAGAAAGCTTCCAAAGCATTAAAAAATGGTATTTATAAATAATAATCTAATTTACGCCACTGTAGGAATTCCACATAAGAGGCGGATATATCCTCCCAATTTTTTACACTAGCGCCAAAAACATATTAATACACAGCAGTTTCACAAAAGACAGTTAAAAATGCGAACTTGAAAAATCTATGTCCACAAAGTGTTAAAGTTTTTAGATAAATGAGTTCACAAAATTTTCAATAAAAATATTTCAAATATAATAAAATAAATAAAACATGAGGAAACTTAAATCCTTGAATTTTCGTATCATGTAATGTATATATGGTCTACTTTAATAAGATAGATTTTCGCAAAGTTGTGTCCTTAATTGAAAAGATTGCCGTAAGCGAAAAATTTCGTTTGTGAAATATCACTGCTCTAAGACGGAGATCCTGACAAATTGTTGCATTCGTATCGACGGCGAAATTGCAAACAGATTTTGCCATAATCCAGGACCGCCCGATCTTAAATAGGCCGCCTCCATCAATGCCAATAAATAAGACAGGATAAGTTATCCCAGAAGTAGTCGCAGTTTCTTCAGGAAATCGATGAATCCTCCAATACTTCAGTACGTAAAATAAGTTTTTTTTAAAAACAATTCCTCTTGATAAATTTGCTGATTTTATTTGCTGATTTGCATAAGATTTTATATAATATTTCCCTTGCAAATCGTATAATAAAAACTAAGAAAAATGAACACTACATATTTATATTTAACAGAAATTTTATAAAGGAAAGATAACTCTTTAATCCTTTTGCGCGTTTGAAATCGTATAATAAAAATTAAGAAGAATGGAAGTCTTTCGGATAAAGACGATATGGATAAATGGATGCTTTCTATTCACTTTACGGTAGTCATCTTCCTGTCATTACACGGTCAACGGCCGTTTTAAAAGCCATAAATTTGACCGTAGGTCAGGTCGGAAATTGCCCGAGTCATCGCTCCCGAGAGACTGAATATATAAACCCGACGGTTTTAATAATACCAGATCATTTGACCCACACTCCCTCCAACTCCCGCTGCTCATATAATTACGCAATAATATACATTCAAGGATTAAGATGGATACCGTAATAACTTAATTAAGCTTAATTAATTAACGGCGAATTCATCGCGACTCCAGGTTCGCAGAGGGTAGACATAATCAATTATGTTATATTCAAATGAATACGACAGGGTTTGACGTTTAATTTTTGTTAATTTGCAAATTTACACCGAGGAATGATGAATGGATGATGGATTGTTATCCAAGTATTTATATATACACTTATACTATCCTTATCCTATATGAGTTACCAAGTACATGATAGTTCTATTATTATTAATATAATAAAGGAACGGCGAATATATCCGCCCTATCATTTACATAATTGTATTTAAGGAAACTATCAAATCTTAACTCTTTATACCCTGCAATCTTCTAAAGTTATTTTGTACTAAAATAAATCAAATTATAGTAAAATAATTTGAAATGAATGAATAAAGGTAAAATCCTGAAATTTTAATTAGTTTTATGTTTCCAAAAAAAAATCCACATTGCGTAATGGAAATATAATCGTCGGATTAATGAACGCACTGCGGTGTGTATTTTGCATAAGTAATGAAAAGTGTTTTTAATGACGCGATGAGGGTGAGGGTGTGCAAAAAAAAAAATAGGGGTATGCACAACGAAATTGGCCCCGTAAAATTCAGTTTATAGTTGCAGTTAATCTTGGGAAGCGGGAAATTCAATTGCATAGTTAAATATGTGCAATATTTGATGGCTTTTGAAAATCCGAGCGTGCTGCATCCAGCTAAAATGTAAATGCGGATCTGGTGGATGCGCCGGGTTCTGTTCACAATAATTTTGTTAATTAAGAAATCAAACCGACCTATATTGGTGAAATCCAATGCAGCATCATAAATGAACTGTGAATCTATACATGCATTCAGGTATGGTAGATTTTGAAACGCATTGATTTGGCTCATTTATAACATTGTTCTCTTCTAATCCACTTACAATCGATGTATGCTGTTCGGATCTGTAATTTGATTTTTGCACCTCCTTTAGTTATTTTTCATCTCAACTTGATTTATATGACATTTAAACAGAAAATTTACCAAATTTACATAATTTTATTTATTAGTTTTTATATTTAATTGTTACTAAATATTATTCTTTTTCTATTTGATAAAGGATTGGAGTCAAAACTTTGTAAATCTAACGTTGAATGAATTATAACATCCTTTATCAATGAATCACAAAGAGAATATCGGCAAAGACGAAAGTTAACAAAACTCCGGTGAACATGTTTCTATGGCAATTATAATTTAATAAAAAGTTAATTATCGTCTAAGCGAAGTCGAATTTATTGCTCGAAAAGTTACTGCAAAGTTTTCCGTCTGTTAATTACAATGAGCGTTCGTCGTCTATCCGCCACGTAAAAAAGAACAATCGGAGCATGAGAATAGGAACATCATATACACAGGTTGCTCTGAGACTTCCGAGATAATTTGCTTTGTAGCGACTTATCCACTATTAATCTTCGCAGATTCGCCGCGTTCCTTCCATAAATTCTTCATTTACTTTTTAGTTTAGTTAAGCACTTTTTCCTTATTCCCTTTTGTCCGTCCTCTACGACCATTCATTTCTGTTATTTCCGAACATTAAATGAACTCGAGCCGGCGCGAAAGCAATTTACTTTTGTTGCGGCACGCGGAGAAAGCAATCATCATCGTCCTTCGGTTACGTAACGGCTGCGATGATTAATGACTGGGAAGTGTTTGTGTTGTGTAACTTATATATATATATATATATATATATATATATATTAGGGTAGCGATATTTCGTGTGGATTAGGGTAGAAGAAATGAGATGGAAATGATCTCAATTAGGATCGATTTTGTGATGGTACTTCACGTACCTGTAAACGTGACGTTCCTGATGTACTTGAGGACCTGTGATCCAGCAGGTGTTGGCCGTAACTCTTCGCACAGGTGGAAGGGTTCGTCGCACCTGTCTGCAACGATGTCGTGGATAGCATGGGCTGCTGCGTAGACGGCGTCAACTGGAAATCATAAGAGAAACAATGTCAATCGTGGCTTCCTAGCTGAGGTTGATCTTTCTAAATGCCTCACGTCGATCAAATCCCGTGGCTTTATAACGTAATTGAATCACTTTCCGCGGAATCTCTACAGATTAGCAGAGATTTAAACGAGTTTATGTAATCACGCCTATCATTTTTTTCTTTCAGCTTTCATTTTAAAAAAATATTATTTTTTATTGCAATGTTAATTGCAACAATTATGAAATTATATAAATAATTACAAAACAAAAATATTATAAAAAAAAATACATGTTTTTTTTGAAGTAGTGAAGAACTCGGACAAATTTGATAGAACTAGACAAATTTTAGCAATTGTGAAATAGAATACGTAACTTTATTACAAAATTCTTAGTTAAGTATATCTTCCTTTGGGAATAGTAGATTAGAGCGTCTGTATCAGAATAAGTAATCCATGAGAAACAAGTCACCGCAGGGCATAATCCCTTGGATTGTGCATCGCGCTAATTGGTAGGGTCGATAATCTGCTAAAAGGCAACACCGATACAGAGGAAATAATAATATTACTTCCTAATTTCTATAATAAACAAATTTACTTAATTAAACCAATCTTGAAACATCTGGTTTTAATACTTAATTATTTCATTGGTTTGGATTACATTCTTTAGGATTTGTCCCTAATATGCGTCTGTTCCAATTAACCAGTGTCCCAATTAAAAGGAATCGACTATATTTAATGAATTTATTTCCATTTGATATTAATTAACGTGAGTTTAAATTTACATTTATTATTTTCATATTAAAATTCATATATTGTACGACAATTATTCTGCATGTTTTTGATTGTATTATTGTAAAATAAACAGATAACAATGGTATTAATGTGAATAAAATCGTATTATTTTAGGGCTTAAAAAATATTTAGTTATGACTAAAACGCGTGCATTTATATAATATTAATAATAGCCGCGCCGCAAATATTTATTTTGTATAATTCGAATAAATCAATTGTTTGCGCTTGTTTGTTTTTAGATGGAACACGTTGTTATTTCAAATTGCGTCGAATTAATTCCACTGTTTTTAATCAAATTTATTTTCCCATCGAACGCGTGATGCAAATCGAATGCGATTTGTACATTGAAATATACGTCGTTCGCAGATGGATGTTTATGTGACAGTTCAATTCGCAATTGTCTGCTTGAATTGCGTTACATAATTGCAGATTTAAATCTATTTATATAAGATCCTTTTTTTGTGGTACTGACGTATTAATAGGAATAAGTAAAAGGGATGCGTTTTGCGACTCCTTGTTCTATCTATAAGGGTTTTCACCCTTTTTCGTCTCGCGTGCTGCGGTACTTTTGTTTAGTCCTTCGTGTATAAATAAAGTTTTGTAAGCAAGGGTCGGATAATGTATCCGCTATAACCTAAAAGCGCTTACCGTTGCACCGGCGGTCTTCTTCATCCCTTAAGTCCTTACTGAGGAAGGGCCTGCACGGCATTCCTTTATTACGTGTGTAATATACGGCCGACGGCTGGTGTGATATACACATGATCATTAGCTGCGAACGCTTTTCAAATGAGAAATAATTTGAAAGCCCTTCAGACGATCGCTGCTCGTTCTCGACCTCTCGTTAGGTTCCCTATTCTAATTGGGAATGACGCTATTGTTAGGCCGACAAAATTGTTACTGAGTTACGTAAATTCAATGGCTTTCGTTCGAAAATTTAATTGGCCACTTTCACCACTGTACTCATTCAAGTCACATATTTTTTTTCCCCACTAAATGGAAAGATGTCATCTTTTAGATAAATGTATACTTTTCTGATTATGTAATTTCCTTGCATTTGCTTAAAATTGTCGTTTTCTTACATTTTGCTTATTCATATTAACATTATATAAACAATGGATAAAGTACATATGTGATATTATATGTACATAACAAATTAAATAATAAACATTTTAAAGGCAGGAAAATCTATAGCCTTTTGTATATCTATTTGTTTGATAAATTTTACTTTATATTTTTTTTATTCTATGCGAACTTATGAAAAATGCTGATGTTTCTATACAAGTCTTATATAAAATTGCTAATAAAAAATGTCATAAAATTAATAAAATTTAATTTTTGTAATTACTTATATTATATTAGTTGGAATATTAAAATGTATACAAAATTATTTGTATTGCTAGAATATACGTAAATATATTCAATCAGTAACTCGGCGCATCCGTCATTTATTATAATGTTAATATATTTTTTATTTAGACATAATGTTTTCATATAACGTATATTGATTATTAGATTTAATTCGACTGATCCGGTCCAATTTTGGCAACTTTGAAAAATAAATATTTAATATAATCCATAATTGTAACTTTATTAATGTAAAACCGTGTTATTTTTATATTTTTTCTAAACCGTGTAAATGCGAAAACGTGTAAAAAAAAGTACCGTGTAAAATGAAGGATGGTCTGTCTGCCCAAAATATAAATATTTTAAAATTATCTCATGTGTTTGTTTCCAGTTATTGTAAAGAAATTGATCCGTCAGAAGTTACGTAACGTTTAGATTGATTGCGTGTCAGGGATGTGTGCGCTCGAACGGTATGTCACATCAGTAAGGAATCCCGTATAAAGGATAATATCAATATCCTTATTCATGCGGAAACGCGTTTAAATGCTACTTTCTATTCGGAATGCACGAAACGCGCAAAGGTGGAGGCAATGCGAGAATCCGAAGTATGGCTATATGAAATATTACTTTAGAGATGTGTTTGAAATGCATACTTTCCAGATGAATACAGTCGACCCTCTCCGATTCAACGGTGCTGCATGCTGTACTAATACCGAACGTCGTTTCAATTATCGGAATCTGCAGATCCTACATGCACAATTTCTATGCCGGACTTGTAGGAAAGCGTGAATAGAATGTCCACTATTGTTAAATTTTATAAAATGCAACTCTATTCGAGATATTGAGAATTGTCCTTTACATGTATTATATATACTTGCTGTAGAAAATCAATAGTATTTGTATATTTATTTCGTAGGAATAATAGAAATATTACTTTTATTCCTACATTTTATATATTAGGTGATCCAAATTTGGCAACCTTCTTAAAAAAAATGAATTAATGCATTGTATGAAGTAGCTCCTCTTGTATGGATTTTATAATGAATTTGATGACTACAATTTTATGATATTCCAAGGACAAAATTGTCTTTAAGAAAGGCCGTTTCTTTACAATGTACGCTCGTGTAGTTCTGACGTTTTGTGCATTGCTTTAAATATACAACCAAGAAATCGAGCGGAAGCTACTATATAGCGGAAGTAAAATAAAGTCCTTCTCTCCTGGGATTCCAGCTAACTTGAGTTCGGCACTGAGAAGTAGTCTCATTGTGTATCTCGGAGAAATCTATGAAGCTTACAAATTGGTTAGTAGTTTGTAAATTGTATTTCCTTCCAAGTTGTTATCTCTTAACTATGTATATGCATCTATATATAAGCTTCGTAATTGTTTAAATTTCATCTCCAGCAAATGCATTAAATAAAACAAGTATTAAAATCGTTTTCACGTTTTGAAGATTACAAAAAAAAGATTCATATTTTTTTTTTAATTAAGAATTAATTTGATTATAACTTAAGGTTTCTTAACTCAGACTCAAAATTGTATTTTTTGTTATTGTTGTTGTTAATAAAATAAATAAATAATAATATTAATAAATATATAATGTGTTACAAAATAAATCTGTAATTTTGATTCTTGTTTGTTATAATAAATGATGGGAAAACGCATGAAACGAGGAGTTAAATCTGCGAATGAATTTTCTATGAGACAGGTACGATTTTTCTTCCTTTCTGTTTTCTTCAGTCGAGGGAAACCATTAAAAATGGTGCTGGGAAAAGTGGCGTTTACCCACTTCGTGGATATTATCACTTATGTTGTTTTCCTTCCACCTCGCTCTTTATTCCTTCGTCCTCGATTTTCTTTTCCTCGGAAAAAAAAACCTAGGAAGTATACAAAATATTCCTCTCCAGAGAATGATTCAATTCTGGTAGACTCTTACATATTTAATGAAAAGAATATGTTTCGACTCATCCTCATTTAATATTTATGTCAAACACTTTATTTACGTAATTTATAAGCGTTTCTAATGCTTACTAAAAATTATAGTAAAACGATTAAAAAAAGTCAGATTTTTGTCCACTAAAACTGTATATTGATTTTATTCTAAATAACACAGGAAAATATATAAAAATAGGAATTTTGTGAATGATGCATAAAGTAACATTCAGTTATTTAAGAGTTTTGAATACTTATTCTGAATTACAGTAAAACGATTGAAACAAAAAGAGATCTTTGTCCACTGAAAGTATATATTGATTTTATTCTCAATAACACATGGAAATGTATAAATATTAATCCTCTGAGGATTTTTCATGAAAAATATTTGAAATGAAGAAAGTTTTATTTAAAATTGGGAAACAAATGCGTTTCCATAAAGTAGCATTCGCTATATTTGCATAAAAAAAATGATTATTGACGGATGAGGTTGGAAAAGGGGGAGTGGGTGTTGAATTACCGAGTTCATTTCGCGAATCCAGTTTGATTATACGACCGATGTTTTCCCGTTATTAACCTTCTGGAATGATGAGAAAAAAAGACAATTCGAAGCGGCTGCTGGAGCTGATTTGAATTTAAATAAACTAGTTTCATTATTGTATGCATAAACATTGTGTTACACATAGGGGATTACTCTTTCCTGGTATCAACATACAAATGGAAATTTTGCGAATACAAATTTTCCTTATTACTTCATTATTACCAGAAAATAATTAGTTTAAAATGTATAGTGAAATTTGGAAATATTTTATTCCTGGTATCAACAAATCAAAATTTTCCGAATACAAATGTTTACTTCATTATTCCTAGAAAATTATTATTTCGTACAAAATTAGAAATGAAAATTTAGCGTCAACAAACAACACTTAAAAATTG